TAGGAATAGCTATACTTATATCAGATAAAATAGACTTCAAGCCAAAGAAACTAAGAAAAGATAAGGAAGGTCATATAATGATGAAGGAATCAATTTAACGAGGATATAACAATTCTAAATATACATGTATCCAACTCTGTAGCACCCAGTTATATAAAGCAATTACTATCAGACCTAATGGGAGATTTGGACTCCAACACAATAATAGTTGGGGACTTTAACACCCCTCTTTCAAAGGACAAATCATCCAGACAGAAAATTAACCAGAAAACATCAGAATTAATCTCTACTCTAGGCTGATTGGACATACTGGGCATATATAAAACATTTCATCCAACAGCTGCTGAATTAGACATTCATCTCTGCAGCACATGGAACATTCTTTAGAATAGACCACCCTTTCATGATAAAAACACTCAATAAACTAGATACTGAAGGAATGTACCTCAACACAATAAAGGCCATATATGACAAATGAACAGCTAATGTGATACTGAATGGACAAAATTCGGAGGCTTTTCCTCTAAGATCTGTAAAAAAAGACAAGGATGTCCACTTTCCTCATTCTTATTCAACATAGTACTGGAAGTTCTAGCCAATGCAATAAGGCAAGAGAAAGCAATAAAGGCATTGAAATCAGAAAGAGGAAGTCAAATTATCCCTATCTGCAGATGACTTGATCATACACATAAAACACTCTTAAGATTCCACCAAGAAATTACTAAAACTAATCAATGAATTCAGCATAGTGGTAAGATACAAAATCAACACACAAAAATCAATAGCCTTCCTATATGCCAATGACAAAATAGCTGAAGAAGAAATCAAGAAATCAATCCCATTCACAACAGCTACCAAAAAAATGAATACCTAGGAGTAAATTTAATCAAGGAGGTGAAAGACCTTTACAATGAAAATCATAAAACACTGGTGAAAAAATTGAAGAGGACACAAATAAATGGAAAGATATCCCATGTTCATGGGTTGAAAGAATTAACATCATCAAAATGTCCTTACTACCCAGATCAATCTACACATGTGATGCAATGCCTTCAAAATACCAATGACATTCTTCACAGAAATAGAAAACACTATCTTAAAACTTGTACAGAACCACAAAAGATCCCATATAGCTAAAGCAATCTTGAACAAAAAGAACAAAGTTAGAGGCATCACACTTCCTGATTTCAAAATATACTACCAAAGCTATAGTAACCAAAACAGCATGGCACTGCATAAACATAGACAAACGGACCAATGGAAAAGAATAGACAGCCCAGAAACAAACCACCCACTTATGAACAACAGATTTTCAACAAAGGTGCCAAGAACATACTGTGGGGAAAGGAAAGCCTCTTCAATAAATGGTGCTAGGAAAATTGGGTATCCACATGCAGAAGAATGACTCTAAACCCCTATCTCTCACCATACACAAAAATCAACTCGAAATGGATTAAAGACACAAACTTAAGACCTGAAACTATGAAATTATTAGAAGAAAACATAGCAGAAACACTACATAAAATGGGAGTGGGCAGCGCTTTCATCAATGAGACCACAAAGGCACAGGTAACTAAAAGCAAAAATACACAAATGGGACTATATCAAACTAAAAAAACTTCTGCACAGCAAGGGACACTATCAACAAAGTGAAGAGACAACCTACAGAATGGGAGAAGGTGTTTGCAAACTACAGATCAGAGTAGGGGCTAATATCCAAAATATATAAAGAACTCAAACAACCCAACAGCAAAAAAAAAAAAACAATTAAAAAATGGCGGGCCGGCCCGGTGGCGCACTGGATAGTGCGCCGCTTGGGAAGCGCGGCGGCGCTCCCGCCCGAGGGTTCAGATCCTACATACAGACCGGTGCCCGCTCACTGGCTGAGCGAGGCGAGGGAGCAACACTGAGGGTTGCGATCCCGTTGCCGGTCCCTGGTCCGGTACGGGGGCAACACTGAGGGTTGCGATCCGTTGCCGGACACGGAAAAAGACAAAAAAAAAAAAAAATGGGCAAAGGACCAGAATAGACATTTCACAAAAGAAGACATACAAGTAGCCAACAGGTACTTGAAAAAAATGCTCAAAATCACTAATCATCAGGGAAATGCAAATCAAAACCACAGTGTGATATCACCTCACTCTAGTTAGAATAGCCATGATCAACAAGACAAAATAAATGCTGGCAAGGAGGCAGAGAAAAAGGAACCCTCCTATATTGTTGGTGGGTGTATAAATTGGTGTAGCCATTGTGGAAAACAGTATGGAGTTTCCTCAGAGAACTAAAAATGATCTGCCTTTATGATACAGCTATCTCACTACTGGGTATATACCCAGAGGAAATGAAATCAGTAAATCAAAAAGACATCTGCACTCCCGAGTTCATCACAATACTATTCACAATAGCCAAGAGATAGAATCAACCTAAATGCCCATCAATGGATGAACAGATAAAAAAAACTGTGGTACATATACCCAATGGAATACTATTCAGCATAAAAAGAAAAGATATCCTATCATTTGCAGCAACATGGATGGAACTAGAAACCATACTGTTAAGTGAAGTCAGTCAGGCACAGAAAGACAAATACCACAAGGTCTCATATGTGTAATCTCAAAAAAAAAAGAAAGTGGTTCTCATAAAAGTAGAGAGTAGAATAATGGTTACCAGAGGCTGGAGGGGACAGGGATGGAGAGAAGCAGTGGACTAAAGGCTACAAAACTATGCTATCTACCCTGAGTCATTGTGTAGTATAAGCATGTATTGAAACAACACACTATGCCCCCCCCCAAATAAATATAAATAAAATTGAAAAAAAAAAAACAAATTCAATGAAACCCCTATCAAAGTCTCACCTGGGTTTTTGGAGAAACTGACGAACTGATTCTAAAAAAATATGTAAATGCAAGGGATGTAGAATAGTAAAAATAATCTTGCAAAAGAACAAAATTAGAGGACTCACATTTTCAATTTTAAAACTACAGATGTACAGTAACCAAGACAGTGTGTTACTAGCCTAAGGACAGACATATAGATGAATGGAATAAAACTGAGTCCAGAAATAAACCCTTACATTTAGGATCAGTTGATTTTCAATAGCAAGTGTCCATACAATTCAGCGGAACTAAGACAACTAAATAAAGTTGGACTGCTACCTCACACTATGCACAAAATTAACTCAAAATGAATCAAAAGCCTAAATACAAAAACTAAAACTTACAAAACTTTTACAAGAAAACAAAAGAAAAACATAGATATATTGGACTTTTCAAAATCAAAATTATTATGCTACAAATGACACTATCAAAAAAGTGAAAAAGCAACACACGGAATGAGAGAAAATATTTGCAAGTCATATCTGGTAAGAAGGGACTCATATGAAGAATATATAAAGGATTCTTACAACTCAAAAATAAAAACACAGGGCTGGCCATTTAGTTTGGCTGGTTAGTGCACAGCTTTGTGACACCAAGGTCATGGGTTCAGATCCCCTTACCGGCCAGCTGCTAAAAAAAAATTTAAATTTAAAAAAATAAATAAATAAAATAAAAAGACAACCCAATTAAAAATGGGCAAAAGATTTGAATAGGCATTTCTCTAAAGAATATATACAAATAGTCAATAAGCACATAAAAAGATGCTCAACATCATTAGTCATTAGAGAAATGCAAGTCAGAAGTACTTTTGAGACAACATTTCACACCCACTAGGACAGCTATATTGAAAAAGACATTAACAAATTCTGTCAAGGATGTGGAGAAATTGGAACCCTCACATATTGTTGGTGGGAATTTAAAATTATGCTGCACTCTGGAAAACAGTGTGGCAGTTTCTGAAAATGTTAAACACAGAATTACCACATGACCCAGCAATTCTACTCCTATATTTATAGTCAAGAGAAATAAAAAAAAAAAATACATGCACTCAATGCCTTGTACACAAATGTTCATAAGAGAATTATTTATAATGGCCAAAATGTAGTTCAACTCATAAATGGATAAACAAAATGTAGTATATCCACGTAATGGAATATAAAAACATGCACTCAATGCCTTGTACACAAATGTTCATAAGAGAATTATTTATAATGGCAAAAATGTAGTTCAACTCATAAATGGATAAACAAAATGTAGTATATCCACGTAATGGAATATAATTTGGCAATGAAAAGGAATGAAATACTGTAACATGCCACAACATGGATGAACCTCAAAAACAATATGCTAAACGAAAGAAACCAGTCATAAAAGACCGTATTTTGTATGATTCCATATTATGTACAGAACAAAATACATACATATATGTTGAAGCCCTATCCCCTAACATGGCTACAGTTGCAAGTAGTGCCTTTAGAGATGAAATTAAAATTAAATGCAATCATAGGGTAGGGCCTTAATCCAATAGCACTGGTGTCCTTATAAGAAAAGGAACAGATACCAGAGATCTCTCTCCATGTGCATACAAATTAGAGACCATGTGAGAATACAGCAAGAAGGCAGCCATCTACAAGCCAAGAATAGACACCTCACCAGAAACCAACCATGACAGCACCTTGATCCTGGACTTTGAGCTTCCAGAACTGTGAGAAAGTAAATTTTCTGTTGTTAAGCCACCTAGTCTGTAGTTATTTTGTTACGGCAGCCCTAGCAGACTAATACATTCCACTTTATGAAATGTCCAGAACAGGCAAATCTATAAAGAAAGAAAGTAGATTAGGGGCTGTCCAAAGCTTGGGGTTAGGAGTGTGATTGAAAGGGGGAAATGACTGCTAATGGGCACAGGGTTTCTTTTTGGAGTGATGAAGATAATCTAAAATTAAATTATGATGATAGTTGTGGAAACTTGGGTGCATACTTAAAACCACTGAATTGTACACTTTAAATGGGTGGATTTATGTGAATTATATCTCAAAAAGCTATAAAAGAAAAAACGTATTTCAATAATTTTTTTAAAACAGTAGCATGCTGAAAAATGTACCATTCCTTAAAAACTGAACTTACCAAATATTGTATAATTCTAGGAACAAATGTAAAACGTGGAAGATATTTCCTAACAGAAATAGAAAAAGATTTCAATTGCAGTTCTTCTTCAGAAGTCTTTTCAAATATTGAAAAGGAAGTTGCACAAGCTATAAAAAATGCCATCACTGTCACAACTGAGGGCATTAGGAGTTCATCCTTCAATAGAAGAGGTAGCATACTGTAAAGGAAAATAGAGAAACATGAAAAGAGAATCATCAATTCAAACCATAATCATTTTTTTTAAAGTTTTAAATGAGTTTATAAGAATCATACCGAAAATATTATATGGAAATTTGTTTGACTCACCTAAATGTTGACACAAGTAAAAACCAAGTAGACATAAAAGGAATTTCATGTAAAACTAAGCAGACTGGTCTAAAAAATGATAAAGAAAAAATAATTTAATATTACAGAATATAATTTCAACTCCCACTTGCAAAAAGTATAAATACATTTTATCTGATTTTCAGGAGTAGCTTAAAAAAAAAAAAAAGCCAGGAAAGTTTCCATATGGACCATTGATTCATTTTTTATAATAGTCCATACTAAATTAGTCTAGACACAGAGGTCTCAGCTTCTCAGAACAACTGGAAAACTGCTGCTTCCAGTATGCCATTAATGGAACATTTTTTCTCTATCATGCACACACAGTAGCTTAAGAAAAAGATCAGATAAACAGATCTGAACATTCAGAGAAGGAAAAGTTTTTTCATATATTTCATCCTACTTGGTAAACAAGTGAATTTCCATTAGAGTTGTTTTCAAACCTCTCTTTTATGATCCTCCACATTACATATTACTCAGCTAAGTAAAAAACTAAAGTTATGACATACAGCAGGATCATCATGCCACTGAAGAGATGACAACAGAGACAAAGAAGAGTTATAAAGGGAAACAGTTGATAATAATAGAATAAAAGAGGAAAAAAATTAGTAGTAAAAGGCTACATGAAAAGTGCAATAATATAGGGACAGGAAGCACAATGCCAATAAACACAATCATGGGCTTTATCAAAGAACTGTTTAGGGTCATAGCTCCAAACTCTGTGACCTGCTTACCACAACCCCTGGTCCAATACCTTTTGGATTCATCTGTGGCAACGCTCGAGAAGGGGACTAGTCAGAAGCCCCTAGTCCCAATCCTATCTCTGCCACTTACTGTGTGACCTTGAGCAAATGATTAATGTAACCTGTTTTCTTATACATACATGGAAATAATACCATGTTAAGAACTTGAAAGAACTCTTTGCAAGTATCATCTAGTTCTTTTTCTAATGATAAAATAAAAAACTTTTCTAATGATGACGGTTGAATAATAATTTTGCTATTATTATTATTATTAATTTGGATCTCCTTATTTTAAAAAATGCTCTATAAAGGTTTGAACTTTCTCTACCTTTCTTAGAATAAGGACTTTTCCCCATATCAATTAATATATATTTAAACCCTGGGATTATAAACTGAAAACTACCATACTGAAAGAAGATACTAGAATGAAATACCATTTCACTGCTTCTAACACCCTTCTTAATTTCTTGTTTTCATTTTTTTATTAGTTTCTATCCTTGAGAATGATAGCTAAGAAGGCAGGGATTTTTGTCTGTTTTGTTCACAAATATATCCCAAGTGCACAGAACAGTGCTTGACAAACAGTAGGCACACAATAAATATTTACTGAATGACATCTGTTTAATGATAGATCAGCTGGGACCAGATCAAGAGGAACTTTTAATGCTAACTTTAAAATCTCTGACCAAAATTATATTAAAGTCATGCACTGTTACAAATAATCTAGGTGCAGTTGTAGAGTATGAATTCCCCGAAGTTTAGGGTCTGAGAACTAATCTGGTCAAATTATAGCTCCTCATGGGCTGCCTTTCCACCATGATTAATAGGTATCAACTCTACTAGATTAAGGAATACCTAGAAACCAGGTAAAGCATTACTTTGGGTGTGTCTGTGAGGGTGTTTCCAGAGGAGATAAGCATGAGTCTGAGTGGGCTAGGTAAGGAAGATCTGCCCTCAATGTGTATGGGCACCATCCAACTGGCCAGCAACTCAGAGAGAATAAATATAGAAGGTGAATTGGTCTCTTCTCTGAGATCTGAGACAGACTCTTCTGCTGCTGCCTTGGACATCAGAACTCCAGACTCCCCAGCCTCTGGACTCCAGAACTTATATCAGCAACCCCCCAGGTTCTAAGGCTTTCAGCCCTAGTTCTGAGGCCTTTGGACTTGGACTGAACCATGTTACAGGCTTCCCAATGTCTCCAGCTTGCAGACAGCCTGTCGCGAGATTTCACAGCTGCCATAATTACATAAGCCAATTCCCCCTAGTAAATCCCCTCTCATATATCCATATACATAACCTATTGGTTCTGTCTCTCTCGAGAACCCTGACTAATGCACTTTCTATGAGGTAGAAATTCTGGGGAAAATATACGTGTTTGAAAGTAATACCTCTCTAGGCCAGCCCGTGGCTCACCAAGGCCACAGGTTTGGATCCTATATAGGGATGGCCAGTTTGCTCACTGGCTGAGCGTGGTGCTGACAACACCAAGCCAAGGGTTGAGATCCCCTTACCGGTCATCTTTTAAAAAAAAAAAAAAAAAAAGAAAGTAATACCTCTCCATAGTTTCATCCACTGGCATTAGAGATTTGTGTAGGGTCAACCTAGCCCCATATAATAGTGGTAAGTCTAACTCAGGTTTGGGCTTCAAGGGATGACATTAAGCAATCCTTGTAGTCTGCAGTGATATGAGACCATTTTGTTCAGGGAAAGAAGCCTTCGAAATAGGCGAGCATAGCTTAATATAAAGCCCTGCACTACTGACGTTTTAGTCCAAAGCTCCACCTAGCAAAAGCAATACTTCCTAACATTTATCATGGGCCATTCTGTACATGTATGTTCCACAGGAACCTAGTGAACAAAGGGTAAGGGTTAGAGTAGTGGTGGGTTGGGATTCACCTAGGGGAGGATCCAAGTATTCCAAAGAGTTCTGGGCAAATACTATTGTTAGTTCTGTCTATGACAACCAGGAAAAAATGTTAATGCTCCTAAAACAAAGTAGTCTGGTTAGGGATTGCCAATAGGGTCTAAACAAAGACTGTGGCAAAACAAACAAACAAACAAACAGAAAGGAGGTAACATAGGAAAGACCTTACGGAGGTAAATGGAGAAAACTAGGCTACTGAACAGATGCAACAGTGAATGAAATGAAAAAGGCAAAGATGACAAGCAGGCTCCAATCTGAGAAAGCCTCTTTGGAGGACATAATTTTTACTAGCATGTAGAAAATATAGATGAAGAAACAGGAAAAAATAAGTATGTCAGTGGTAATTCTATCTTTTTTTTTTTCAGTTTAAAATATTTTATAAAGAAGTAAAATTGTAAGAGATCATCATTCTGGAAAAAAGAAATAATTTTATACAAATATAGGAGTAAAACATTTGTGTAGTTTTGTTTTGCATTTAAATGAATACTTACATGTAAATTATAAATTTATTTCTGTATTATAAACACATAATAATAAAATGCACACTTCAAACATTTCTACTTACAATGATACCAAGAGAATGGACTTTTCATGTACTTGGAAAGAAAATAAGAAGAATGACAGTGCACAGCTAACCTTTAAGAAAAAAGGGGCAAAATGAGATATAATAACTTGCAAAATATAATATCAATTTAATAATGAATTTAAATAAAAATCATTTCTAACAAAATTTTAAAGTTTATTATATAGCTTCTACCTAGAAACAAAATATAAACTGCACTGGAATGCATAATATTTTAATCACATTTAAAAATCAAAATTATTTTTCAAAAAACAATGATTATATGACTATATTTAACCACTTAAAACAAGTTCATTGAGGGCCGGCCCGGTGGCGCACTGGATAGTGCGCCGCTTGGGAAGCGCGGTGGCGCTCCTGCTCGAGGGTTCGGATCCCACATACAGACCGGTTCCCGCTCACTGGCTGAGCGAGGCATGGGGGCGACGCTGAGGGTTGCAATCCCGTTGCCGGTCCCCGGCCCGGTGCGGGGGCAACACTGAGGGTTGC